TGCATTCAATCGGCGATTAATTATCTGAAAAATATGAATAAATATCGCTTTAGAAGCGATTACTTCTTGGAATCGGTAAAGAATGGCATAGTTTTGCAATCAATGGCTTTCGACTTCTCGTCCAATACTTCGCAAATATCGGTGAAATCAATGCCAGACTTTTGTTCATATGATGTCTCGGTCTGTATTTGTTCCTTCAAACGGACCCATCATTTGCCACAAATACTGGACTCTCTATGGAATGGACAGACATTTAAAGGAAATGTTGAGATCATTGTCTGGAATAACAACTCTTCTCGTAGTCATACTGTGTCTGAAATATGCGACAAATATATCGTTCAATCAAATGAACAAAAATCGCTGCAATTAATCAATTCGTCGAAAAACTATTTCTGTGCCGTAAGACTAGCGATGCCTCAACTCATGCAAAGTCAACGCCTATTGATTTGCGACGACGACTGTATACCCGGTCCTGAGTTTATCGACTTCTTTGTCTCCAAACACAACACATATCCGGAAGACGTGCTCTGTTTGAGAGGACACCTGTTTTTGGAGCACAAACTCAATGAACAAAATCCGTCAAACTTTTGGTTAGATTACGAGAATCTGAGGTTTGTTTCGGACGAAAGACCGGAACAGTTGGTGCACTTCATTCACGCAGACGTTTGTCTAATCACTAAACAGGCCCTCCAGGAGTGCTCTTCAATACCTGTTCCCGACTCCAGCTATGCATTGGTTGACGACTATTGGATGAGTTATGTCTTAAATCACAAATTCAATCGTAAACTCAGAAAACTGACCACAAGTGGTGTTCCCGAAGATTATATCATTAAAAGGACTGAAGACTCGGATAAGATTGGATTAGCTCTCTATACAAGACCTGAAGTAATACAAACTAAAGTGAGAGTATATATCCATCATATGCTTCAGGGATGGCCTCATTGGGAGAGTAATGATGAAAACATCACTCAATTGGATGAGAAAGCGATGAAAGTATTGACTGAAAATAAGAAGCATTTTTGGGATCAATTGTTTGTTGGATTCAATATTTCATCGGAAATAAGTGCAGAAAGTGTTGAAGTTTTGGCTGAAATGGGAGTGAAATGTGTGAGAATAGGAGCCGTGGGTTTGGGCGATAAAGTCGACTATGAATTCAAGGCATTCCTCAACGATAAGGACGAAGAGATGAAACGATTGAAACAAACAATATCTCTATTGAAATCAAAGGGTATTCGCGTTGTTCTCACTCTTAAGAAAGAGTTGTCTTCTCCAGAGATTTGGGAATTCATTGCAAAGAACTTGTATTCAGAGGAATATGTGGTCGCATATGATCTCATTAATGAGCCCTTCACTCCATTGGAGAGTCAATACGTGTTTGAAGACAATGATCCGGGTATTTGAATATTGCATAAATGTTTATTAAAAATAACAAAATAATTACTTTATTTATAAATTATAAACGATAGGAATGTCTGAACTTATGGTGAATTATACGGAAATGATTGAATCAATTCGTTTGGTCGACAAAATGACACCAATTATAATAGAGTCGAGTTATTGGGCTAATGTCGACACTCTCTCCAACTTATCGATTGACAAACTGATTGAAATGGACGACAATATAATGGTTTCGTTTCATTTCTATGATCCGCAACTTCTCACTCAAAGACGACGAAATCAAAACCGCTATTCATTTCCCTCACAAATACCTGACTTTGAAAACATAAAGTGGCCTAAAATGACTACAATTGACGGCAACTTTATTGACGCTAAATTTTTGTCTGCCATTCAATGGTCGCAAAAATTTAATGTCAAACTAGTTTTGGGTGAGTTTGGTATCAGTCGAGAGGTGTCGGGCGCTCATCAATACTTGGACTCAATTATGAAGGCATGCAAAACATATGCCATCTCTTCATTCATCTATAGTTTCAGAGATGAAGAATGGGATTCAATGGACTACGAGTTGGAAACTGATGTCTCGACCGGATCTCTCAAACAAGAATTGTCTCAAAATATATTAATGCAAACCATTATAAATGGCATTCGAGATAATGTCAACTAAAGTTACATTGGTTAATTCGATTTATTATTGATCTTAAATAAAATTAACATGATTTATTATTATCGTGACATTTTTATTATCAAAAATAAATTCAAGGACTATTTTTTTAAAACAATTCAAATTACACAATGTGTAGCATTAAATAAAAGTTATTTATAATTATAATAGTACTAATAATAGTAAAGTAGTACAATAATAGTACAGTATAGTATTACTAGTGCTAAATTATCATACTTTTGGAGTGTTAGGTACGCCCGAAGTGGGGGCAGACTTGGGCTAAGCCTAACCTCCGATAATAAGCCGACCGAAGACTGGGTTTAAAACACTTTATTGTTGTTAACAGTTATAACTCTAGGGAAAGACTATTCCATAGAGAGTCCAGTATTTGTGGCAAATGATGGGTCCGTTTGAAGGAACAAATACAGACCGAGACATCATATGAACAAAAGTCTGGCATTGATTTCACCGATATTTGCGAAGTATTGGACGAGTAGTCGAAAGCCATTGATTGCAAAACTATGCCATTCTTTACCGATTCCAAGAAGTAATCGCTTCTAAAGCGATATTTATTCATATTTTTCAAATAATTAATCGCCGATTGAATGCAGTCTTCAGTCAAAAGTTTACTGAAATCGGTTTCGTCTGCGGAATAGAGAAGAGGATAGTCTTCACCGATATATTCAGTACAAGAGCTGAGATTAGGCACAAGTATTGGTATATTTCTGGCGATACACTCGAGGATCAGTGTATTTGCGGCGCCGTTGTATAGGAGGGTCAGGAATGGCACCGAACGGTACAACTGGTTCTCGTATTCCTCGTCAGACAATCGTGTCTTTAGATCAATATCTTTTGGATAATCGCAACTAAACTGATATTCTGTCGACAAATCGTTGACTAAAATAACTTTTTTGAATTGTTTTGAAATGTTTGCCGAATAAAAGCGATTGAAATCTCTGGCAAAACCTCCGATAAGAATCAGATCCACAGACTTCTTGTCCCGCAATAAATCTAAAACAATTGAGTCTTTGATCACTTGGGGCTCAACGAAGGGGTAAACCAATGTTTGAATCGGTATTTTGTAATCGAGTTTCAGGTTTTGATCCAAATATTGTTTTTGAACACTCGTTAATGTGAACAAAGCCTTACAGTTCTTCATATACTTTGCATACCTTTTACTGCACAACCGTTTCAGGTCTGGTGTGTAAAACAGTAGTGGATATTCTGGTGTCATATGTATTACACCAATCCATTCATTATTTCCCAATACTTCCGGATTATCGCAAAGAGTCTCTTCAAGCGCTGGTATAAACCGAATGCTTGAGTTCTTGTCGTGAAATTCTTGTCTCAATAAATCGATGGAAGCGTTGAAAGCATTCTTGTAGTGATGGCCCCAATCGGGAGGCGTTTGGAAATTGAATGTTGGCTTCAATTGAATATTCTTTAGAGGTTTTTGTATGGAAACGTCGGGACTGTATATAAAGACCTTCGCTATTGTGTGCGGTTTTGCTATAGCTTTCAATTGATTACTGTATCGACTGAAGAACGGAATTGATGTAACGGACAGTCCATTGAATAATACAATAGTTTTGTTGGGAATTAGATTTGGGATCAAATGAGTCCACTTTTCCTCCACCTCTTCAGCGTCTTGAGTGAAATCAATAAAAACAAAATCCGGTTTTATTTCGGATACCTTTTCGGGAAGTATTGAATCGAAATTCATAACAACAGGTTCTATGAATTCACGCATCGGTTCCACATTATACTCAAATCGGTGTAAAAATGAGTCCCCGTTTGCCATCACACTCTTCATCCACACATAATTAGACATCCAGTTCTGCCACACGTATGAATCGCACGCATAAATCCTGGATCTGATTATAAATTATAATAAACAAAAGTTTTGAATAAAATATAATACTATATATAATTTGTTGACTTACTTATAATGTGAGAACTGATATGTTTTGGCAGAGATTGCCATCAAAAGAGCGCTAAATCCCATCCAAGAGCCTAACTCTAGCATACATTTCGGTTTGAATTGCTTTATGAGCCAAACCAACAACTGTTGCGTCTCGTAGTCAGTGGTTGTGGACACGTGTTTAGCCACTGAATACTCGGGTGCTGTCAAGTCCTCCGCAGTCCACGGCCTCTGCAATTGTGCCTCAAATCCAGACTGAGATGTGAAGTATTGAACGTATGGTTTGAAAAAGTTGTCAACAATTTTCGGATCCAAACCAAACGTTTCCGTACTTTTAACGCATTCATTGACCGAATTAATGAATCGCTGACACAAATCCCAGTTTTCAGTAATAAGACAGCGATTTGCCGTGAAATTCAAACCAATGGCTTCTATGAAGGGATGTCCGCGACTATACTTTTGCTTCACTAGACCGGCGCGCGTTAGACTCAATGCCTCGATACTAAAAGTACCGCTTTTTAACACTAATTCATCCCTTCTTTCAACGGCCGGAGCGAACAAGTGATCACTTTTACCGCTGAAGTACTCTCTGATGACATCACAGATGTATTTGATGTCGATTTGTGTCAAATCATAATATGTGGGCAAATAAAAGCCGGTCGAACCCAACCTCTCGGCCCTCCCATACCTGCGATCACTTGTGATTCGACGGAAAGCCGGT